TCTTTCTTTCTTTCTTTCTTTCTTTCTTTCTTTCTTTCTTTCTTTCTTTCTTTCTTTCAGAGACCTCAAAACAGGACTCTGAATTTCCACCCGTGGCGGATGGAGCGGGAGGCAAACTGTTACTTGAGAGGGTAGCTCGCTCACCTGGGCTGCAACCCCGACAGGTTGCAGACTCGGATCTCCGCAGGTCACCTCTGCTCTGCCCAAGATCCTGCGTGCGCGCAGCCACGGCCGTACGGCTGGGCGATTTCAGACACTACCATGGTTTCCTTTCCGAGGTCCTACTCCCTTCTGTGCCTCTTCCCCCGCCCCCCAAAGGGCCCCTTTACCCCTGCTGACTGCCTTGTTTTCCTTGCCCTGAACCCCAGCTTCTGTCTCTCCCCAAACTCCTAACCCGAAGACCTTCCCCGTTGCCATTGCCCAACTGACCCCGGAGAGAAGAGAAGCTTACCCGAAGCGGTCAGGAAATAGGGGTGATGATGATGGTCGGGTTTGTGGAGCGGATGGTGCGGGTGAGGTGCCAAAATGGCCGGGGGCGGCATCAGCGGGTACCCATAGTCCAGCAGAGGCACCCGTGAGGCCAGGGCTCCGTGGAAAGCCTCGGGCCCCGCATCTCGCATGGGTTTGGGCTTATGGAGCAGGATGTCTTCGATGAAGAAGGAGGTCGGCCTGGGGGCCACGGCGGGCGAGGTGAAGTTGAGGTTCATCTCGTGCCCTTTCGCCCAACTCTGCTCGTGGGGACGGATCGGGGCGCCCGCTCTCCTCGGAACTCGAGGAGGGGGCGATCCACCTTCTCCTACGCCGCCCTAGATGAGCCGGGCGAGAAGCGCGCCGCGATTTTGAAGATCTTTTGGAGGCGAGGGGCGGGGAGGGGCGGGGGGGGGGGAGGGAGGGAGAGACATGTGCCTTTGAGGGCCGCTTCGAGAGGGGCATCTCCAACCAGCCAATGGCGAATTAGCAGGGCGGAGGGAGCGAACCCTTGGGCATCGAGTCGCCCACCTGAATGGCAAGTGACGGGGCTGCTCTCCGTGGTGCTGAAAGAGAGAATCAGCGGCGGGGGCTGGAAGCGGTGGACCCCGGGGAGAGGGCGGGTGGTGGGGGGGACGGTGGGGCAGGATAAAATGGGTTCTATGTCTCTCCCTCCTCCCCCACTTCTTCTCTCCTTTACAGGTGTGAGCTCACTGGTGAAGACAGGAAGCTTGCAACTCAATGGGACAATCCGCCTTGCTATTTCGATACCTGTAAGCCAGCCCTTGGTTGACTTCCCCGTGGAAATCTTGAGTTCAAGAGCTCAACGATGACTGCAGTTGCTGAGCTTAGTAAGTAAGCTTTTGGGTGGCCCCCACTAGATGAAGGGAAGCCAATTAGTTAACAAGTTAATTGGATTGTATGAGCCCCCACAAATGGATCCATCCAATAACCAACTGAAGCCTGTGATAGCAATAGCAATAGCAATAGCAATAGCAATAGCAATAGCAGTTAGACTTATATACCGCTTCATGGGGCTTTCAGCCCTCTCTAAGCGGTTTACTGAGTCAGCATATTGCCCCCAACAACAATCCGGGTCCTCATTTTACCCACCTCAGAAGGATGGAAGGCTGAGTCAACCCTGAGCCGGTGAGATTTGAACAGCCGAACTGCAGAACTGCAGTCAGCTGAAGTAGCCCGCAGTGCTGCATTTAACCACTGCGCCACCTCGGCTGCAAAGCTCACCATTCCTGTTTGCAGGTGTGAAGGGCCACAATGGGCAAATGTTGCAGTTAGGACGAAGGTATCATTTAGGGACGCGGTGGCTCAGTGGCTAAGATGCTGAGCTTGTTGATCAGAAAGGTCAGCAGTTCCATGGTTCAAATCCCTAGTGCTGCATAATGGAGTGAGCTCCCGTGACTTGTCCCAGCTTCTGCCAACCTAGCAGTTCGAAAGCACGTAAAAAATGCAAGTAGAAAAATAGGAACCACCTTTGGAAGGTAACAGAATTCCGTGCACCTTCAGCATTGAGTCATGCTGGCCACATGACCATGGAGACGTCTTCGGACAGCACTGGCTCTTTGGCTTTGAAACAGAGATGAGCACTGCCTCCTAGAGTCGGGAACGAGTAGCACATATGTGCGAGGGGAACATTTACCTTTATCATTTAGGATGACGGACTACTCACCCTGAAAAACCTATCCAGGGACAATTCAACACCCCTTTGTCTATAATCATTTGGCTGAGCCATAAACAATTAGAAGAAGGAGGGGATATCACAGGATATATTGAGACACAAGAAAACAGGTTGCAAGTATTGCTCAGTGTGAATCATTTTGCAGAGAACAAACAGCACACTTGATGTGGGTTTGGCAAGTTGGCATCCCAAAGATGTTTTAGGACCGGCTTTCATTCCAATGGGTGAAATTCCAGAATTGCATATCCAGCACATGTGGAGGGTACTAGGAAAGATTCTCAAGAAGCTACCCCAAATCTCATTTAAAAACCTCAAAGCTGCTTTTTAAAAAATTATTATTCCCAAAAGCCTGGTTTATAGTTATCACTTTCGAGTTAGCCCTAAAAATGAGATTTTAAAACACCAAACAAACAAGCCCGTGTAACTTTTTCCTACGAGGATGGTCCACCAAAATAATACAGTGCTTTCCTTCAAATTTATTTTAATCCACCCTAATATTGAATTGACCCGGTGGCTCAATGGCTAAGATGCTGAGCTTGTTGATCAGAAAGGTCGGCAATTTGGTGGTTTGAATCCCTAGCGCTGCGTAACGGAGTGAGCTCTGGTTACTTGTCCCAGCTTCTGCCAACCTAGCAGTTCAAAAGCATTTAGAAATGCAAGTAGAAAAATAGGGACCACCTTTGGTGGGAAGGGAACAGCATTCTGTGCTCCTTCAGCATTTAGTCATGCCGGCCACATGACCATGAAGATGGCTTCGGGCAATGCTGGCTCTTTGGCTTTGAAACAGAGATGAGCACCGTCTCCTAGAGTTGGGAACAAGTAGCACATGTGTTTGAGAGGAAACTTTACCTTTAATATTGAATTGGACAAATGCATAGTCAATTATAGGACAGGCACTGATATCTGAAGATGCCCATTGATTTCACTGGGTCAACATTAAACATGGCTGATCCACAATCTTGCTGTGATTTTACTTACCATTCACTCCTTTAAAATCTTATGATTCATCCTTTCTTATTTTCTCTCTTCATGCTCTCTCTCTCTCTCCCTCCCCCTCCCTCCCTCTCCTTTTTTCTTGTTTCTCTGGGTTTTTTTATCCCCTTCTAATCTGTAATACTCATTTCCCCAGAGTCAATTTGCTAAAATTAGGATGATACTCCACATCACAGCCGTGATAATTTCAGCTCGCATCTTGGAAAATTGCTCTAATTATTGATGTTAAATTCAGGGAAATTAAAAGAAGGCACTTCTCCTTCATCTCCCAATTTTAAGCTCTAATTTGTCAAAATCGAGTTGTCATCACAATTCCAGTCAGGGGCTGTTAATAGTCAAAACGTTTTAATAGAGCCAGAATTCTCGCAACCCATGCGATTAGATAATTAGGAGAGATGTTAGAAAGACAAGTGGTAATCCTTGGGCACATGGGCAGCAGCTCCATCTAATCCAGCAGGTAGAACAAATTAATTACCAGAATCAATTAGGATGAAATGTGCAGTTCTCCAGGAACTGTAAACCATGCCTTCCATATGCATGAGCTGGTAAATGGTAAATAAATGGCAAAACCCTGGAAATAATAGAAACGGCAATCATGATAGTTTAATGAACAGGAACTTGGAGAGCATGAGTTAATGTTACTCTAACTCCCTCATGCTCGTCTGTGGGATAATGGAAAAGGCTGCAGCCTGCTCACTGCAATCTTCCAGGCATGGCTTCATTGTTCTGCCTTATTGGATTATTAAAGCAGCTCATTGTCGTGAAACTATTGTTTAAACAAAACAGAACCAGACCATGAGCTTAGTGGAACTTACAGATGAGAGTCCTTTGTGGTAGCAGCCTGCGGTTCCTTTTGCAGAACTGATATTGGTTTAATTATCTCCTGGGCGCCCAACCACCGGGGATGGCCATGAGCTGGTGAGGCCATCTTTCCATCATGGTGGCATTTGCACTGGAGTAAGTCTGATGATTGATGCATGGACCATGTTTGGTGGCGCAGTGGTTAGGGTGCAGTACTGCAGGCNCCTGAGCCGGTGAGATTTGAACCGCTGAACTGCTGATCTAGCAGTAGCCTGCAGTGCTGCATTTAACCACTGCGCCACCTTGGCTCTTCATTTTCAGCAGACAAAATGCTTGTTTACTTCTCAGAGCAGGTTTCTTTCTTCTTAGGTTTCTGTTTCAGTTCTCTGCACAAACACAGATCTGTTTAAGCTCCCATTGGTTGACTTAGTTGCTATGCCTATTCCTTGGCTGACCTTATTCCCATGTCTCTCCCAGTCATGAATATTTTAACAGACACCACCAGCAAATTAAATCTGGAAATGTTAGCTCACATAATTTCTCCCATTTCCCACTCTAGGTTTCTTCTGCTGTTTGTTTTGGGGTCTTTTTTCAATTGATTTCTGTTTCAAACTTCTTGAACAGAATAAAAGCCATATCTATTTAAAGAAAAGAGAAAGAAAAAGAAGAGAAGAGGAGTGAATGAGAAAGGAAACAAAAAGAAAAGAAAAAGAAAATAGGATTCCAAACTTCTTTACAGCACTTGTACATTCATTTTGTCTCCCTCCCCCTCCCTCTCTCTCAGATTACATCATGGTTCCCTTCATTCCATAAGCCACTCTTTTTAATCATCAAATCATAAATCACAAGTTTATTTATTTTTTCCTTTTTAGCAAAAAGTCCATAAAGGGTTTTCAGCCAATTTGCCTCTTAGGTTGACCAGTGACAGTTAAAATATCAGTAGAAGTCAAGACGATTTAAACTCTTTTTAACATTAAACCCATAAATCACGTTTCTTTTTTTCCTTTTTAGCAAAAAGTGTATAAAAGGTTTCCAGACAATTTGTCTTGTTGGGTTGACAGTAATGGTTAAAACACCAATAGAGGTCAAGACAGTTTAAACTCTTTTTAATCATTAAAACCCATACGTCACAAGTTAATTCCCCCCCCCTCCTTTTTAGCAAAAAGTCCATAAACGGTTTCCAGCCAATCTGCCTCTTGGGTTGACAGTGATGGTTAAAGTATCCACAGAAGTCAAGATGGTTTAAACCAGCATGACTGGCTGAAGATTTCTGGGAATCGAAGTCCACACATCTTAAGAGTTACCAAGTTTGATAGTTACTAATTTTAATTTGTGTAAAAAAAAAAGTGAGCTTTTTCTGCCAAATAACAGGATTAAAGTACACTTTGAATACATTTTTAAGTTTTTCACAATCTAAGCTAGGCCGGCAAAACAGAGGTGGTATTCAGCCAGTTCTGACAGGTTCTGGGGAACCAGTAGCAGAAATTTTGAGTAATTTGGAGAACCGGCAAATAGGCTGGCCACACCCCTGCTGCCTCCCAGCTGATCTTCTTTTGTTGCCCCGCACAGGAGAACAGAACTGGAAAGCAGGTTAGTGGGGTGGGGGTGGGGAATGGGGATTTTGCAGTATCCTTCCCATGCCACGCCCACAAAGCCACAGCACGCCCACAAAGCCACACCCACAGAACCGATCGTTAAAATTTTTGAATCCCACCACTGCGGCATAACCTTTGAGCTGCAGGCGAAATC